ACATTATAACATGGCTAAAAGTTCACAAAAGTCAATTTTGCATAGTATATGACCTTTAAAAAAGAAATGAATACTGACAGTTAATGCATGTTTCCAGAGTTTACGTTTGTTTATATTAGCAACTAGAATCAATATGGCAACAGGTGGAAAGAACACTGGCGCCCATTGGTATGATGCAGGTACTGACATTTTGGGTGTTACTTTTGACCACACAAGGGATGGGCCGGTACTCTCAGCGCTCATCACTAAACCATTAGAATGACTCACTGTTGGTGACAAGTAAGTTTCCTGTCTCTTCCTGAGATCTTTGGATGGCAGAAATATTTGAAATGTGTGGTCACAATATGGCTGTTATGGCGGTTACCTTATAAGGAACTGAAATTGTTTAAAAGGGATATACAAAGGCCACGTTATGGAATTTGGTTTGGTTTTAAGACAGAGATGTTCATTTTGACTTCTTATGTACTTTAACTTCTTGGGTTCTTATTAAAGACAATACAGTAAAGTGTGTTTACGTTTCGTTGGCATGTTGGTTTGGTTTAGATGATTTTGATTTGATTTCAGATGGAGATATGACTGTATTTTTGTATTTTGTCTAAAAAATGAAAACAAAAACATTCTGAATAGTTTGGTAACTAACTAATAGTTTGTGTAACTTTCTTTATTTATGGAATTGAATGATTCAGGAAGACGCCCTCGGGTTTTTCAATACTTTAAGTGTCTTATTTCTCTCAAAACTGCCTGCATTTAAACAACACATTATAGTGTCACTTTCTGATGCTATACTGAAACAACAACAGAATTACACTGTAGTTAGTTAATTTGTTTTGACAGAACAATACACTTTGATGCAAGCCTTTATTTCATGAGCATGTTATAAATAACAGTTTAAATAGCTAGTGAGGATCAACTTTTTCCAATGCAGTAGATATGACATTTAATTTTAAATTGTAAATCACTACAGCAACCATCCTAACCCCATTCACTCAAGCAGGGAAATGTGTTTTACATAAAGACACAACAACAGAGCTTTCGACTAGGGATCAAACCACTAATCTGGACAACTGCTCTAACCACTCAGCTGCAGGCTTTACCAATCTGTCCACTCCTTCAGCTCAATGTGGCTCTTAAATGCATTTATCTAACAAAAATTACCTTTGAAAAGGTATAGATATATTCCTGAAGTAATATTAAATTTCTAAATAACTGGAGCAAGTTATTTATCTACACAATGGGAAGTGTTGTTGGTTAAATCTTTGTGGATTTCTTCATGTCCTGCTTTAGACCAGGTTTAGACTGGCAGTGCCTTCATAACATGATCTGAGAATGTTGCTAGGATACCACATTTCTAAATTATAAGGTTGTTTCCTTCCAATTCCTGTCAGTGTAGAGGCTAAAACTAGCTTGAATCTTTCATTTTACATAATATTGTTGAATTCATTGGGTAATTCATTCAGACATTTTATTATAATGTTGTACATAGCTTGCTCCCAGTGTCTCTGTCTGGTTTATGTGTGTGTGAAAGGGTGAGTGCCTTGGAGTTGGAAAAGTGCTCCATAAAAAAGTGCTATATAAAAATGTGACTATTTATCACTTGCACCTAGCACAAATACTAGACCTAGGCTATATGAAACTTCAGGCTGCTTGCTAAAGATGCATTATGTAACTTTTGTGGGGAAGGGTCCACCACCTGCGTGTCTCATCTAAATGCTTCTGGCTGTTCCTGAAATATTTCACATACCATATTGTGGAACATTCATGACAAAGCAAGACCATCTTCATAAGACTCGCACCACCAGGAAAGTCAAACTTTTATAGAATAAAACAATAAAATAAAACAAAGCTTGTTGGTGAGTCAGCATCTAGCTCTTTGTTACAACTTGAGTGAAAAAAATGACAATAAAGATTTGTCTCTCATTCCCATTTTTCATCAGACAATTTTTCTCTCTTTTGAAATAACATTTTGGAAAATCTTATCAATTCTTCATTTCAGTTTTATCAGTATGAATGTGCAGCCCGCACAATATCCGTGCTCCCTCTTGTCTAGATTACACCACCTCCATGCTACAAAGGTGTCAGTCTGCTGCTGCTTTCAAGATATGCATCAGTGTTTTTCATTTCCCACATTTATCTACGGTTTATGGTGGGTTATAACCATGGAAACGTTCGGGCTGCTGTCATGTTTATCGTCATTATCAGATTAGGCGTTTCTGATGGCACTTTGTTTGGATGAGGGTTTCTACTCAGCAAGCATGATGTCATCCTTTTTGGGAGTGAGCTGGACTGGATTTTAAGTTGCTGTATTCTGCCCCCCAGTGGTCACTCAGAGGATGTTCAGAGATAAGAAACAAAGGCAGGGTTGGTACAACACAACCAACGTGTAGAATACTTCATACCTGCACTAAAATGTATTTTGTAACATATTCCTTTGGATGGTTCAGGCAGAGTACTGTTTTCTGAATGCACAATATGTTTGCATTGAGTTACGTTATAGCCTAGAGTAAAAACATATGCTATATCAAAACAGTTTTATGTTGGTTGCTCTGTTTGTATGGGTCAGGGTTAGGGTTAGGGTTAGGGTTAGGTGCGGACTTGCAAGTTGGGACTTTGACTTGAGTCAGACTTGACTCACTATTTTTAGGACTTGAGACTTGACTTGATAAAATGGACTAAGACTTGGGACTTGACTCGGACTTGAGGCCAGTGACTTGAGAAGACTTGAGAAGCACTTTTAAATCTGAATTCTTTGTATTCTGACCATACTGATTCACACTAAGATCTTGTCAAGACATTTAATAAAAGAAAAAATGTACATCTCTGCAACTCTTATATACTCTATAAATACTCAAATATACTATCATTTTTTAAAGTGCAATTTAGTTTAAAATTAATATAAATTGCAAAAATCTAAACTATATTTGGTATTTTGTGTTAAAGACTTGAAATGACTTGAAGCTCAAAGCAGACGACTTGCACCTGACTTGGGTCTTATGGGCCAGTGACTCTAGACTCGACTTGGACTTGCCTGTATTTGACTTGGGACTTGACTCTGACTTGAGGTCAAAGACTTGAGACTTACTTGAGACTTGCAAAACGACTTGATCCCACCTCTGGTTTGTAATGCATTTATTTATCACCAATTAGAGAGGGAATTGTGAAACTGTACATTTCAGTGGTGGAAAGTAATAAGTACTTGGTTAAATTGCACTTAATTACAAGTACAAGTACTGCTGCCAATTATAAAGTATGAAAGTATGAATGAAAAATACTGCTCAAAGTATTATTTTTAGTAGTCACTTTATGAAGCAATTATAGTAGCAGGGGCAACAAAAGCTCAGTAAGTTGAGAGTGTGTTTGTCTATTGACCAGAAGGTTGGCGGTTCAAATCCCACTCTCAACATAAACATGGTTAAGAGGTCCTTTGTAACACAGGTTGGCAGTGTGATTCCAGCTCCCACAAGTGAATGCTGTTGTGTCTTCGGCTGAGAAACTTAAGCCATCCAACCATTTATCACCCATTAGTGAAGGAACTATGGAATTGGACATTTCTGTGGTGGAATGTTATTTCAAAAGTACTGTTATTGCTAAAATGTAGGTACTTAATCACAACTACAAATACTGCAAGCCAAAATCTTTACACAAGTAATAGTATAAATTATTAATAAAAAATACTACTCAATGTACTATTTTTACTAGTGACTTTTGAATGTAGTTATAGCAGCATTTTAGAACAGTCTTTTTTTTTATTTATTTATTTTTTTTAAGTTGTTTAATGTAAGAGTAGCTGCATTTACATGAACACCAAAATCTAATTATGATCTGATTTCTGGAACTTCAAAATGATTTAAATAACATGTAAATGACAAATATGGTGACTTATCAGAGGGCCCATGATTGGAAAGAAATCTGATGATCTGATAATTTAACTGTTTACAGGTCATTCTAATACATTTCAACAAAAAAAATCAAATAATTAACCATTTTTGAGTGTAAAGCCTAATTCATTTTAATGCCCAATGCATATATCTACTAGTATATTTAGCACTACCCCCAAAAATCTACTCAGATAGTAAAGAAGATATTTGTAATTAGTTACTTTTAAGCCCTGGCTTCTGTAGCACACTGTGTAGTTGCAGTGTGCAGTTGGAGTTTAATAATTACACTATAGATTTAGATTACCTCAACATTTGACCCACCTTAGCAACCTGTCAGAAGTATTGAAAATTCACAGTGCTGCACCTGGGGACCCATCTCCAAATCTTGAATCACTACCACGATCAGGACCATCCAGCCGGACTTCCTGCAAACTCAAAATAAGGCCCAACAATCCGGGAAAAAAACCTACCTTTTTGCTGTGAGTTGAGAGCGCTTTCTCTGTCCTTTGCGAGTTGACACATCTGGTGGAGCATATGACGACTTTTGAATATTCATTTTTTCAGTAAATAGTGACAGCAGTAATTGAATGTGAACCCAGCGTAATTACATCAGATTAGATCACAGTTTCCCAGAGCGTAGGGGCCCAAGGGGAGTGCACATGCTATTTGGGTCACTATCATTTCTTAATATTTATTCACGCTATTTCAAAATTAAATAGTGGTTGGGTATTTAGTGGGACTGAATGACCTCGAAAAGCGATTGCAAAATTGGTGAGAAGTCCAATATTAAGCAAAATGTACTGTATGTTGGTTTAAATCTCACAAGAGCTAAGAGCTACCTTTTACCTTTTAGTTTAGTAGAGATTGGCAATTCTAGCACTGATACCAACCAAATGATTCTAGTGAAGGTGTGAGTTTAAAAACACAGTGGAGTGCTTTCCACTCAAGAGAAGGTATGTTTGTGATCAGGAAACAATTTTACCGAAAAATACTTTCAGCATCCTGTTCCGCTACCCTCACAAAAATCACACACCAACAAAATTTTAATATAAATCTGTAAAAATGAGATATTTAATGACCAACATGAAAATGACATGGAAAAGTGATTGTATCATTTAGAAAACCGCCAACACAAAAATACATGTACTATCTGAAATATGTGGAATCCAAAACGTAACAATTTTATAACTACTAACTGTGCACATAAAAACTTGCAGTTTGCGGCAATGATAAGCGAAAAAATTGTTTGAAAAAGTCGGCGATGTTAACCCTGTTTTTTGCCAACACAAAACAATGACAAAACAACAAATATGACATATAGAAACCACAATCTCCACGTTTAAAAATTGCACTTTCAAATACTGGTGTCGGGAATAAATATTTGTCACCTATCTTATATCCATTTTCGGGTATACAGTACAATAACACAGCAATATTATAATTAGCGCTGTTCAAATAGGGCTTATAGCGATTTTTCATTCCAGCTGCTTTTTGCATATAGTACAGAATTGCATAATAGCACATCAATAAATAAATTAACACCAATGACATCTAACGAGAGGGTAAAAAAAGATTTACAAAAAGTACTGCATAATTAACAAAGTTCCTTCATATATTATTTATATACTTACATAATCATTCAGAAGTGCTGTATGTCCTTTGAGTCATTTCACGTTTTGCACTGTCCCTTTAAAGTCCACCTTCTTTTTGTAATTAGAAGGAGACGTCATTTGGCCTTAAAATTTAGTGTTTTTAATCCACTTTAGTTTTGTTTTTTGTGTTTAAACTGGACTCCTGTAAGGTCGAAGCTAGTTCACCTTTTGGATCTCCGCAGCAGTTGGCTTCTTGGAAGTCTGGGGGGCTGGAGGGTGCAGGCGGAGGGTGCTGGGTGAATAGCATAGCATCGGTTAGCTTACAGAAGGTGCCAGTGGTACTGGTGGGGCTGGTTGCCGAGGAGATGGGCGGCCGAAAGGAGGAGGGCCTGGGCTGGATCATGTGGATGCCTCCGATGGGGATGAGTATACTTGGGGAGCGGCCGGTGCGCTGGGAGTGCAGGGGGAGGTGGCTCAGCAGGTTGCGGGTTAGACGGCCGCGAGAGGGGTGAGGGGCTGTGTGGGGTACATCAAGTTTGAATGGAGACTGAAAGATACAAAAGATAAGTCAACATGATTAAACAGCTTTCAGTATGATGCAGAATTAGTAGTGTAGTGTCATCTATGGTTATGATTGTGAAGGTTTTTAACTGCTGAAAAAAAAAAAAAAAGGCAAATTTCCACATCAGTGGACAATAAAGGTTCATAAGTGTCATTGTAAATAAGTCATAAATTTATTATAATCACTCAGATTCATTTGTGCCTTACAAGGTTTATGACAAATGACAAGTATTTCTATAGTGCTTTAAGTTATTAAATTATTCATTCCCTCCTCAGTTACACTTGAACTACTAGTTCCTACTGAACTACTGAACTACACTTATTCACATAGGCAACTGGGTGTCTTGCCCAAGGACACAACAACTGCTGGTAATGCTGGATACAGGAATTGTGTTGCCAACCTTTCAGTTGGATGTGAGAGATGCTAAACGGTATCTCAATGAGTCTGAGAATAAATGTTGCACTATGTACTATGTAATTTAGCAGACCCAGTCACCTTGTGTTTTGAAAGGTTATTGTCAGAGAGTGAACGGGCTTGTATAAGAGCAGGCTCATTCATCTTACAGGCCACCATCAATAACTATTATGGGATGTTTGACCCAGAGAAATCTAATGATACAAGTAACTCTACTGTACATGCAATCCATTTTCTGATGAGATGTACTGCTACCAATATACCATGACTAAACTATTTTCGGTTTGGTTTGGTTAAGGGAAGGGCTCAGCTCTTATTCCTTTGCATATATATATATATATATATATATATATATATATATATATATATATATATATATATATATATATATATATATATATATATATATATATATATATATATATATATATATATATACACCAGGTAAAACGAGGTGGACCCTTCACCAGTAAAGCTACTCAGTGCAGCTTTAACTTATTTCTGATCAGGTTAGACCTGAAAGCACATGTCCTTAGATTAGCGCTCCCTTAAGCTGTATATTGGTGAAAGGAGGAAGTGGTGAGGTTATGCCATGATATAACCAAGTTTTTCCCAACAACATGTGGTCCCAATACCAAGTATTTAACAATCCCTGCTTCTCATTTTATCAGCGGCTGCCCTGGAAAAACATGTTGTGTCTACTTGGGTGCATTATATTTGGTCTGGGAGCCAGCTGCGTGCAAGGTTCAACTCGCATAAAACAAGAGAGTTGCCTTTCCTTCCTTTTCCAATAAATGTGATTTTAAAATAACTTCATATGTGCAGGAGAATCTATATTTGTTCTGCTTGTTGACCAACTGGGAATGGACCGCGATACACAAAATTAGCTTTGTGAGGGGATGTATTTAGAGGTGTGGGCAAACTGATGGATCAAGTCACAAGTTTGGGGGGAAAAAAAAGAATTAGATGACCAATGTATATGGAATATACAGCATATGGATATAATATTTGGACCAATATGGTAATGATGATGAAGGAGTTGATTATGCTATGTGGTGTGAGGTATGTCCTTTTCACCTGTCCCTTACTCTCTCCTGTTCTAATTCACTTTCAGTGGCTGTGGCATGCTGAGAATGGCCAGTGTTTTGAGACATTAAAAGACCATTTTGTATGTGTCTGAAACATTCTACTCTCCATAGAGAATAGAGATGCGCTTGGATGGATGGACATGAAGACAAGCAAGTAACTCCACCAAAGTAAGTACTTTTCTGACAATAAAAACATCTGATTAAACAAAATGAAAGATAAAATATGTTTATACAACACAGTGGAATATTCCAGGCAAAGTAATGACATCTCCATAGAGAGAAGCAGGTGATGGACCCTTTGCCAGCATGATGTCTTACACTTGTAATGCTTTTCAGAGACTTGTCAAAGCACTACCCTGCAGTTCACCCCATCTACTATTGTAGCCACAGCTACCCCTGAATATTAATAAAGTACAACTACACACTATTGTTGGTATGTAGCAAACAGAACTATGTTTTTTCTTTTTATATAATCCTCAAGTAGGTTTGTATACTAGATGCATCCAGTTACACCACTAATATTTTTTACTAAAACCAAAAGGAAACGATGTTGCTTAATTCTTTTTAAACAGGTTTACTTTACAGCTTACTTACCAGTCTCATTTTTGATTGCGTGCCATCCTGGGGGTCTTGGGTGTTTGCCTGGGAGCGGTGGGACCCATGGGAGCCTGCTTTAGGGGACTGGGCTATTCTTGTGAGAAGGCACCAAGGAGGAGGCCCCAGCCCCTCTGAGGAGCTGCTGACATGACAACCTGGAGAGGCGCAGGCTGACGCAGGCACCAGGGAGTGGGGTGAGGGAGGTGGAGACGGTTCTTTTTCTGGAGACTGGGGGGAGCCTGGGCAGAGGGTGGTGGGCTGAAATCGTCTCCGGGCAAACAGAGCCCTCCTGACACTGGCCGATGTCCGAGTGCTGTCTCGATGGGTGGGGGTGAGGAGAGAGACAGCAGAAGGTCCCTTTCCTTCATCGCACCGGGTGTCACTATCCTTGGTGATGGAAGTCTCGGGTTGTATGGGTTTGTCTGTGTCAATGCATTGGAGATTTGGGTTATTGTGGAGAGGCTTTGGGCAGTCAGCAGGACAGGGGTCTGGAACTGAAAAAAGGAAAAAAAAATATCATGCATTTCATTAGACAGTAGTTATGAATGGATCGATATCAAAATATCAGTATTATGTTAATATTGACTGAGGTATCAAAAAGTAGTGATTCTCATGCAAAAATATAGCATTTCTTTTCAATCAAATAAATACATTTGTAAATAACTTTAACTTGAAGATTATGATAACCTCTATATGCCAAGGCAATATACTCTTAATATATATAATAGAAAAGTTTCATTGCATTTTAATACAAAACCCATTGGTATTGTATTGGATCAATATTGCAATACTTAAAAAATATTTTGTCCTCCTATTATTCATTTTACATTTGGAATTGTGATTTGGCAGATTTTTTCCAATTCCGTTTTACCAGTTTACAAAACATTTTATATTATATAATTGTTCACATAAATTATATTAGCATTAGCAAGTGTCAATAGTATGATTATTACTATAATTAGTATAACTGTATGAGATTTGAACCAGTGACCCTTTGGTAGGGTGGCAAATACTAAACCCACAGCCACAGCCATTTACAGCTTACATATAATTCAAATAATATATAATGTAATAAGTCATTGCTCCTCTACCAACATTTTGTAATATAAAAATATTTGTACCTGTACGTTTCTCATCTAAGTCACAAGAGGTTTCGTCAACACCTTTCTGTTTTTCATATTTGGTGTGGCTTTCTGAAATACAACAGAGATATGGCACAGTTTTATTTATTTGTTTTCAAAATAATATTCAAATTAATTTTAACCTAGTTCTTCGGTCATTTCCATTCCTCACCTTCTGATGTGACAGCTGTACTAGAGAGTAGATTGTATGTTGTATCCTGAGCAGAGTCCTGGGTGCTCTCTGGCTGAACACTGGAGTCCTTACGGCTGACTGTGCTGTCCTTTGGTTCACAGCTGCACGTTTCACTTGATCTGTACAGGACAGAGAGCAGCACAGTAACATTAAACAATGTTAAAATTATTCCTCACTTACCCTATGCATTCTGAGCATTATAATTATTCACGTTTTCACAACTTTCAATTGAGTTAGTAACAACAACATGCTAATAGAGCACTTCCTAATTCTCTGAGGATTAAGTGATTTATAAATATGCAGACCAGAGGGTGGTACTTTTTTTACTCTTACTTGAGTAATTTCTTGAATCACTACTTTGTACTTCTACTTGAGTAATATCATTTTTAAGCAACGTTACTCTTACTTGAAAAAAATGTTTGGCTACTCTACCCACCTCTGATGCAGACAGTGTAATCCAGTCTGATTTTAACTTCAAGAGCTGCTTACACAATATATATACAATAAAATCTGTACTGGGGTAAGACAAGTTTTGCTAAAATACGTGGAAAAAATCAGGTCCAGCCACTTTAAGGCTAGAATGATGTGTGGATGTGGCCCCATGAGGATGCTAGCTGTAATTGCTAGCTGTAATGAATGGTCTGCCGGAGTTGAGCGACAGCCTGCGGGCCCGTGAGCACCTGTAAGCGGCTTTCAGAGGCTGTGTTTGTCTAATGCTGCGGCCCTGTCTGTTTGGCCTGCGCCGCACTGTGAGCTCACACTGTGGCAGCTGGGCCTCCGTTTACACCCAAGGGCCCCTCAGCAAGGCACCCACTTCATCCTGAACAGAGCAGCTTTCATAGGCCAAGAGCAGACCCCCACCCGCTCCCCTCCACACAGCCTCTGAGCCCCTTCCCGAGCTCACGCCACCAGCCAGTCCAAACAGGGGAGCCTACCATGTGGCCCAAGGTCTCGGGGTTTGCAGTGGTGGGCCAATAAAAACATGGTGGAGAGGGAGGGAAACCCGGACCCAGACCAGCTGCTGCTCCAAATAAGCATGAAAAAACACCCAAAGTGAAAACATCGTCGTACGGCAAACAATCAATCTGATTATAATCTGTTTTGATTTCTATTTCCATTACAGGCCTCACGGCTGGGCAGACTCACCAGAGATCATAAACACTTCAAGTTATAGAACAAGTTGGACTACTTTAGCACACGGGAGAAACCAAAAAATTACTAGGCTATACTAGGATTTAATAATATTGGAAAAATATTTGCTACATACCTGACAGATATTGAAGCTGTGATAAGATATGAGATTTTGGATTCTGATGTTCTAAGATACCTAATAAAGGGAATTAGCTAAATGAGACCATTTGAAATTGTAATTAATATTGAACCTTAGATTTAACTTATATCTCATTTCTTTTGAGGCTAACTAGTTAATAAATGTTTTCCCCCACTTTTAGAGGCCAGAGAGCAGAGTTTTGCCATCACAGTAAAGCTAAAATAACTAGCAGGATAATGCGGACTTCCTGATACTTAGCGGCCTCCTTTTGACCCTTATTTATAGTTTTTGATTTTAATAATTGCCTGAGGCTGGACCGGCCCGCTCCTGCTTTGTTTCAGCAGTGGCACTGAAGCATGGCTCAAACTCAGAGGAAAAAATTACCTACAGTGACATTAATTTTCCTATATTGGACTACATGTAAAATCTACATAATCTCAACCAGAAGTGATTGTGTTTGTTGATGTCCTCCTCTGTATCATCAGATACAGCTAGCTAAGCAGTCCTACTTTCATTCACAATGGGCAGTTTACTTTTGAACAGTGGGCGGCTGCTCAAGTAACCCACACTTGTTTTGTAATGTCCCGTTCACTCTGTGATATTTGAATGTCAAAGCGAAAGGAACTGGCCTTGTTTCAGCCGCCTCCCGCCTCTGACTGTCTGAGTGCGGAGAGACAGACTGAGCAGACGGACGGAGAGAGGGAGCGAGGGATGACTCAGTCCTTAAGGGAAGGCTGTGCGAAGTGTCAAAATGAGTCACAACTAGAGTTTTGTTCACACGTATACCCTCCCAAACCCAAAAGAGTCACGAAGATGGCACCCTCCTCTCCACACCGTTTATTTCTGATCGGTATCACACTTCGCTCTCGCCTCCCCGCAGATCTGTCTCCTGTTTTATGTGAAACGAAATGCCAGCAGGAGGAAATTAGAGCTAGGAATCTACCTTGTTTAAAATGGGTTTTATCATAACAAGGGAGGACTGTCTGTAATTATTATTACTGACCAAGTCTTACACATCTACCAGTGTTTGTTGTGTGTGTTTTTTTTTCAATTCATAAAATCATTTCTTGGTTGAGTTTCAAGTAGGAATAGAACTCAAAAGGTCGATATTATGGTATTTTCTTATCGATGTTACAATTTTGTTTCCTCATCAAGAACATACTAGGAGTTGTGTTTTGTTTCATTGTTTAAGACGCACACACCTGCATATTTAGGTTGAGTTTTTCTCTCAAACAGAAAACACTGATGTCTTTTGGTAATACAGGAAGTGCTCCACTGTGTTTTTAAACTCCAGAAACCTTCACTAAAATCATTTGAAAGTGCCAATCTTTAGTTCAGTCTAAAATCTGAACTAAAGATAAAAAGTATTAACTTGAAAACTCCCACTGCATGACACCACAAGGTGAAACAGAGCATTTTGAGCTTTGAAAATGTAGACAGATTAATAACAAAGGTTGACTGAAAATATGTGTGAATGAAGACACAACTCTAGATATGTTTTTGCATTTGCATAATTTAGTTTATGTATGTATGTATGTATGCATATAGCTTCAAAATCTCAAAACATGGTTCTCATTATTGTTTCCCTTGATAAGCACAATTCCATCAGTTTGATTTTTACCTTATTTTAGCCATCCATGTTTCCTCTACCATCTTCTTCTCCTCAGATGGCTTGTTTAAGTTCTCCATGGTGACTAGCTGCTGTTCTTTGCTGTGGTCTATACACACTGTCTTGAGGTAAGTCTATATTATATTAAAAAAATATATATAGTTAATTTTAGTTTATTCAGAATCTTACATTAAAACATTATATAAAATTACAAAAAAATATTATATTAAATTACAGTGGTACTAAAATTTCAAACACAAAATTACCTCTGGGGATCTGGGTCTGTGCTCCTCCTTTGCCTCATCAGTTGGAGCTGACATGGAGGAGGTAGTGTAGATGGCCGGACTAAGCCTTTGCTTACAATGCACCAGAGACAGGGCTGTCTTGCTGGACAGTCCAGGAGGGTTGGGGTCATATCCACTCGTCGACCAAGATGAATACACCGAGGGCTTCTGTTCATCAAGAGCCGCGGGGTTGGGTTTTACGTAGTTCAAATAGCACCAGCTGTTACAGGTACTGGACAACAAAGTAGGGTAAGGAGGTTCAGCTTGGGAGACTGGAGGACATTCGTTGGTTCGGCAAGATGGCGGTTCTGGTTTGTGTTCTTGAATGTCACATGCTTCGTCCTCTTTCACTCGCTTCTGTTGCTGTTGTGATTCTGGAGATAGTTCAATGCTGTTTGAAGGAGAGAGCACGCGTTTGTTGGCCCCTGAACCCGAGGCCCTCAGCTCTCCAGACCAATCCGGGAGCTCGGGACTTGCTCTTCCATAGTTTAGACAGTCAACAGCAGACTGATCTATAGCGTGTGGTACCGCTGCATCTACTGCCTCCAATGGTCTGGGGGAGGAGGACTGGGAGAGGGTGGTGTAGATGGCACAGGCAGGTGTGAGGGTGTGTGTCTGGAAACGTACCACTACTGCTGCGGAGGTGATGGGTCGCACACGCTCCACACTGGATATGATCTGTGGTACACTGGAGTGAGGCATGTGGCTGTGGGAAACCACCAAAGACTGCCGGGGTCCTGGGGGGATCTCCAGCTTCAGTCCTGTAGACACAGGTAGGTAGTGGGCTCTGGCTGCTCCTGACAATCCCTGTGCAGAAGCAGGGTTTGGGGTCGGGGAAGAGAGAGGATCTGTACGAACTTTTAAGGCCTCCTCTTTAAAAGGATTATCACACCCCACGACTTTATTAAGTTGTTCTAAGCTTTGCGTTAACTGCACATTTTGCTGCTTCCACTGTTGGACGATTTCTATACTTTTGGAGTATTGTGAAATGGTTTCACCCTGTAAGGGTGAGTCAGGGGACTTGCTACAGTACACAGAAGTTGTATGAGGGCTAAAGCTCACTTTTTCAGAAGTATGGACAGATGAGGATGGCAGGTCCTCTTCGTCAGGATCTCTGACAGCAGTGTGCCTAATTAAAAGACATTTTCGCCTCTCTCTCCAGCCTAGTGCAGAGCGTTCAGGGGAAAGACTGCTGTAGTCAAAGGATTTACTGCGGGTCTCTGACATAGTAACATTCTGTGGCTGTAGGTCATGAGGTGCTTGTTCAGAGGCTGAGCGCCTCATTTCACGATGTGGGTGGACACCAGGCACTGTTAACATATGAGGAGCTCTCGATCTTCTTGGAGATGTTAAGGTTTCTGACTCAAGTCTGTTTGACTCCTCAAAGGATGTTGACCGACTAGAAGCATATGATGCACTACTCTCCTGACTCGGACTGTGTGGTAGGGAAATGGACTCAAAACTGGACTCTCCTGAAGATTGGGCAGCCTCAGCCAACCTCAAACGTTTCTTCTTTGGGGGAAGTTTTTCAATAGGAAGTTGGGCAAGAGAGGAGCTTCTCTGTGGCCACTGGAACTCTTCAGACCTTTCTAATGGTTTTGCAGGTGTTGAAGGTACATTATCAGGGTTTGTATGTGAGTCCTCTGTGACCAGTATTTCAGGCACCTGAACACTATGTTGGCGCACCAATTTTCGACTCAAGACCTTTCCTGACAGTTCTGACTGCTTTTGTAAAATATCTGGATCTCTGAGAATTGGAGGATCTTTTGTTGGTTCAGTGCTTTGACTATCTGGTAGAGATTCTTGCTTTTCAAATGAACTTGTGTGCTGAATGACAGAACAGGTTTGTGTGGGTCTTCTGGGGATCTCATAGCCTGTATTACCTTCAAAGTTACACTGTTCTGAAGGACAGGAAGAAAGAGCTGTAGGAGATGCAGGGTCTTCAAGCTCAAAACTCTCGGCTTTCCTTCTCTTGCGCAGTGTCAATGTCCCTGGTCTGGCTGATTGGGTAATTATCTGGGAGCATTCCATTTGACTGACGACCACCTCATTTCTGGGACGATGCACTAAACACGAGGTTTGTCTATGTTTTTTATAACCTTCCCAATCCTTGCAGCCCGTGCCACAGGTCTCACATTCATATGGCTGGGGTTGACTCCGCTTATGGTCAGGCACAGTAGTCAGAGAGTCACTGCAAAATGAGTGAGGTCCTTCGCACTCACCATCGATTGCTGGTTGCCTTCTCAGCATTCCATATCGGCGAGGTACCTGTGATTCAGATGGTTCTCTTTCATCAAAGGACTGACTCAGACGGTATTTATTTGAGCCCATAGGTGCAACATCAGTAGAAGTAGCTCCAGTTGGCATTGAGTGGCTTCTTAACAGAGGGGCAGATGTTTGACCAGGCTGTTGCACAGTTGATGAATGGTGCTGGAATTTCTCACATGGAACTCCCATAGTAATTGAACCGCTGCTCTTATAGAGGAACTCCGCAGGTTTGGGGACCTGGAGAAGGGGTTCTTTTGGAGGTGAACTCTTTTGAGGGTCTGAATTTTTTCTTGACAATGAAAACCTCCTTGGCTTTACACTGTCAATTTTACTGGTGTCCACTACTGCCTCATTGATAGTAATGAGTTTGGTGATGTGGTCGATGACTTGCTTCTTGGGCACTGTGAATGGCACACTTTTGTCCTCCTGACTTGGGGACTGCTGGTTATTCTGACGAGACATCCTTTGTAGGTGTCCAAGACGTCCATATTTGCCAAGGATGATTTCTGCGTAACTTTTGGCACTTGTGTTTGGATAGATGTCCTGTTCAGTACTTTCAGAACGGGAAAAGTAGCCTGATTCAGTGCTCTCTTTACTGCCTAATATCAGAGACAGGTTCTTGTCATCAGTTGAATCTTTGGGGGTCTCTACTCTTCCTCTACTAAGGCGCATGGCCAGTCTCTTCCGTACAGCATATGAATTATCCATTGCAGTAGTATCTTTGACCTGGTTTGTTTCGAGGTTTTTGATTGAAGGAATAGTAGAAGCTGATGGTAGATGTCTGGCTTCATCTTCTGACTCTGTAATTTGTTCCTCTGAAGGTCTAGTGTCCCCGACAGCAAGCCCTGCCTTCACCCTGTGTGTATGTGATTTGCGGTGTTTGTACAGATTACTCTTAGTCTTAAAAGAGAATCCACATGGAGGGCAGGGATAAGGCCGCTCTCCTGTGTGTGATCGAATATGCTTCTGCAGGACGCTAGGCTTGGCACAGGCACGACCACAATATGTGCACACATATTTACCGGGTTTCTGGGGTTTTCGCTCACGTTTCTGTTTAGGGGTACCCTCTTGGGTTTCTGCTTTGGTTGAGTTGACACCAGGTGTGGTCGCAGGTGAGTTTTCTGAAACAGATTTGGTTTCTTTCTGTTTGTGTTCGGGAATAGTGTCTGAGTCAATACTCTGCCGCTGAGCCCTGAGGCGTTTGCGTTCAGGTAACTGTCTTTTAAACTGTTTGGTCTGCTGGAGTGCTCCATGAGAACTTTTCGAAGAGTCAGTTGGTTGTTGCTTTGAAGGAGATGGTGTTTGCAAATGTGCAGAATCTTCTTCACTATGTTCTTGACCTCCGGACTGTTCCCCGGTTGTCAGGCTACTGCTCAAGGCCTCCATAAAATGTATGGACAGCCTCAGAGAGACACGTGGGAAGCGTCTGCCTGGACCAGGCTATGGAGTTTGAACCAAAACATTAACTGAAAGAAATGTTGGTAGAAAATGTATAGGACTCTTATTTACTTCTGGTGACTTCTCATCTTTCAAATTTTCATTTACGGAATATTACATTAGTGGCCCACATGTACTGAGGAGGACGGATGTATGATCACATGTGTCATTGAAGAAATTGTCCAAGGTGTCTCAAAGTACCCCATCATAATCAGTGGATCAACTTGTTTGCTCTCAGTTGACACGCTGAATGTTTTCAGTCCTCTCTGCAGACCTGTGGAAACAAAGAAAAATTATTTCAATATTTGCAATTGATTTCAAACATGGATTATTTATTGCTTGTGCTTGTTTCATAACCACTGCGTCTCAGCGTGACATAACCATCTTCTTGAACAGTTCATGACTACAGATCTATTTATGAAATATTTTTAACCGGCAGCACTATTTCGATAACAAAGACTCAACTCAATTCAAAAATAGTTCTTTCATTTTCAGCTGACCTTGAAACATGGACATTTTTCAGTTTAGCACTAACATAAAAAAGTTAGTATTACAGAGCCTTCAAAAAGTGTTAAAACATAATAATTATTAGGCCTGCATAATTTAGGAAAAAAAACATCTAATTGCAATTTCTCTGACAAGCATTGCAGTTAGATTTGCACTTTCTTTTAGCATAGGATTCTGTTCAAAGTTCACATTTTAAAGGTGTCCAGGAGAAATGCAAATAGACTGATATATGACTGACAACCTATACAAGAACCACATTTCAGAATACATTTGTACAGTTTTAACAACAGTGTTAGTAGTTTTTATGCACAAAATTACAGGATATTTAGTTGTTTGTTTAGAAAATAATGGGACTAAAAATTGCAGCCTTTGCTAATTGCGCCCATTCAAATTGTGATTTTAATTCAATTGTGATTAAACTTGCAACCCTAGTAATTACGACCCAAACAGCTAAGTGAACTCAAGCCACCTTTTTATGGAAAATGTATGTTTCTCTTCACATGACTAACTACCATGTGAACCCAGAGACCGTCTTGGCATAGTGTAATTAACAGAATATCTGGCATTTTGTTGTCTGATAATGCCATAATGTTTTTAGCACAGCGCTTATTACATCAGGTTGAGGAATTATAGGTATATTACGGCTCTGCTTTCCAACTCTGATTAGATCTAATAGAATGAAGGATGTCCGTCTGCAATTCATCACAAACAAGTGCACAGATGTAAAATGCATAGGGAGACTCGGTGGAGATGGTGAAGAAAACTCCCAGTATTTTGTGTGCCAGCATACTGAAACAGTAAACATGGCTGCCCACTCACTGACCAGCTGGTTTGTACACCCACATTCTGGTGGAAGACAGAGAGGCTGCTGGATGGGGGCCAAATGACTGATAACATGTTGATAACCAGTTTTGATGTAACTCTGGAAGAATATACAACAAATACATAATTCTAAGATGATGAGCATAGACTACCACAAACAACTCATCATTCTTACTAAATCAGCATTGCAGCTTTGAATGTTCAGTATCTCCTTTACTAATGTTGTCTTTAATTTCTTTAGATTTACATCAGTGCACTTTCTGCATCTAAATTTGGCAAGTTTTTTTTTTCTTGATTGTGTGAAAGCTAATTCTGTTCAGTGTTTATATTTGGTCATTCAACAACAAACACTAGGGATGGATGATTTCAATAAATATTTGCATAAAACGGGTTTCAAATAGGCTCTAAAGAAAAACACCTGACACAGATGGGTCAGTCCAAAAAGTTGCTGATGTTTTGAGACATTCCCAGACCAAGTGGGTCCTTTCTACTGTACCTTTAGACCCGGTCTGGGACCAGGACAACCATGTAAATGATAACCCCCATGGAACTTTATTGGTTAAACTAAAGTTTCTAAAATGTCTCAAAAGTTTCCGTTCACACTTTGTTAGCTCCACTGTTCATTTGCACATCCAAGTTGCAAATAAAACTAGCCCTCTTTCCACACATCACATCTTTTCTGTCTGTGAAATCTGACACTGGGAGCTTGCAGGAATGTTGTTGAAAACACACTTTGAGGTGTAAAAATTCCCAGTGCTAAGCAAGACAGCTGTTTGCATTTTTAAGTGGAATTATCTCCTCCCATGTACTGTAATAATCCGTTTTACCCAAGTAATTAGACAACAGCTTAACCTGTTCAGCTTCTGAAATCTTCACAAAGAATATATGTTAAAATAATGTGACCATGAAACTAACAAGTGAAAAAGAGAAGAAAAAAAAAAACTCACTGGGAGTAATAATGTAAAAAATATAAAATGCTGCACACAAAAAGAATATTGTATAAATGGCTTTTTAAAAATCTTTTCAATTTGCTCTTCTCACACTAATGGGCACCCAGCGGTGGTTCCTATGGTAACGGCCCTAAACCATGTGGTAGCAGATGGAAGGAGAGCTTGAGGGCTAAATATATCTTCCTGCATCCTCACTGACTACAGAGCGGGAGAGAGCCGGGCTGCAAAGGTGCTTCTCTCCTCCGAGCTCCGCTTTTTGGAAACACAACGGTGCACAGCTCAAAAGAAAGAACAAAAAGAAATCAATACACAAATCTACTATTGTGCATCCTCTGTTTCTTTTAGAGCATGATACACTGAAAGCTCCTGTGAGTTATGGGAGGAGAGAGGATGCAGCACAGGGATATAAAGAAAAGATGCTTGTTTTTCACTGACAATTTTTCTTGCCATAACGGACAAAGGAATTCCACAATCTGAAAACGACATCTTTTGTCCTAGGTCTAAAAACTAGGTCTATTTTTATAAGCTTTTGGGGGACTAACATAACTGAGATTTACTCCGAAACTAAGATACAATAGTAATAAGATATTTGAATGAGTAGAAAACCATATCGCTTTGATTTGTTCCCAATGTCTAGCTTCAAAACCTTTACCACACAACAGCTCCACACAACACTTTAAAACATTGGATGGATGCTTCAGTAGAGGCTGGCACTCTCCTACTCATTGCTTCTATGATGTAATCCAGTTTACCTGTTGCTGATGGGCTGTTCTAAAAAAAAAAAAGAAAACAAAAAAGAAAAAAACGTATCTACTATTATGATGAACCAATTTACATACTAAATATACATATTTAAAATTTTTATATATTTCAGGTCAGGCATTGATAAAATCCATTGAAACATTTTTGGCCACAATCGACCTTGGTAGAGCGACACTCATTCAACAAAACCGAAATACATCAAAAGTGACATGCTCGGAACACAAATGTAGCCCATATCCCAATCAGTCATGCTGTAAACTCGCATGACCCTGCCTCAGCTGTGAATGGCTGTCTGTTGTGTTATTTGCAGCCGTGCGTGTCAGCTGAGCACCCTGATAGTGGCGCTCGCACTCTGGGGAGACCAGCGAGGGAGGTGGGGGTCACCCTTCGGAGGTATTCGCATACACACTACCTCTCCTATATGCCCTGTTTAGTCCACTACAGCCATGCATATGAGCCTGCGCGCCCCACACAGGCACCCCATTCACCGAGGAGCAGGGTTAGTCTTCAAAAACTCATATGCCTCTTCATTCATTCACACTACCACACTCTCTGCAGCGGATGGAGCCGAAACCGTGGTCCAAAATCAGAAATGGTTCCGCTGATTCATTCAAGAAATTCCCCCTTCTCACATCACGTCGCCTCAAAACCACTGACAAAGATGTTTTTTTTCCTCTTTCTCCGTTTTTTACCTGGTAGAAGCAGGTGGTGTCGCGGTCACGTCCTCCCCGCTTGTGAATGAGACCGGAGAATCGGAGGCGAGGAGGAGAGGATGCGAGGAGAAAAAGGATGAATGAATGCGTACGGTGGGGGCTGTCGCGTGAAAACACACTCCGAGCGCTGAACAGAGAGACAGGTAGCCGCTGCCGATGAATGGGGAGGGAGGGGGACAAATGCTTCACATGTACCCCCCAAAAAACCCGCTCTCTTAGTCAAAGTAATTCCTTTTTCGTGGAAGTTGACGTAATCTTGTTTCTCCTACGGTTGCATGGAAGGGTCAGTGTTTTACTAGAAAAGCTGGCGTGAAAAACAAAAAAAGAACACATTTATTTTCCGGCGAAGGTGAGGAGTGAGGAGAGCTATGGTACGTTCTCAGAAACAGCATGGAAAATTTGAAATAATGCGACAAGGGGGAGAATTTTAAAGAGCAGTCCCGGAGAATGTCCACACACATCGGTGAATGGAGACCAGGTTGCGCTGACATCACTTTTCACTCCCCCTCCTCCTCCTCCTCCTCCTCTCCTTTCTCTCTCTCTTCCCGCTCCGAAGCTGGTTTTGGGCAGGCTGGGAAAGAGCAGACATGTGGGGCAGTAGGGAATACCATGCAGCTCGTGAAGGCAGCGGTCAGGAGCTCGTACGGCGAAAAGGGGGAAAACTAAAGATGCGATAGAAGTGTTGATCCTAGCATAGGGAAACAGAAAGACCGCGTGATCAGGGAAAGTAAAAGGAAAAACGTTGTGTCTTGTGTGTGTGGAGCAACATACGAGATGGTAGACACACACAGCGTTGGGAAGCTGTTTTTAGCATATTCACGTGACTTGACCAATTCGAAGGAAGGTCTAGCGAGTTTACGTACTACATCTATGGCCTTATTTTCAAGGTCAGTGCTAGTCCAAATGTCAATGCTCTCTCTGTCCACAGGGGGAATCCCGAGGTTGTCGCATAGACTGTAAAGAAGTGGACTAAGGGAGTGTGACGTCACCCACAGTGTTTAGCTCTAGTCAAATAAAGCTCACGAGGCTGGAATTTATGGGGTGAATTTGGAGCATATTAGGAATAGAAATTTATTTTCAGACAAAATAGTGAAATAAAAACACCAGGATCGTGTTAATACGAATATTTTAAGACCAAAATACAGCAGTTATGGAGAGAGGGGTGACAGTTTTTCAATGTAAAGTCAATGAGAGTTGACAGAGCTGGAAGAGTTCCCATGTTCACTCCCTATTTGGAATGCGGCGACTTGCAGGTTAAGTATGTCCATTTATATATACAGTCTATGGTGAAATATCATGATATCGTATCGTCAAAGTTCTCACAATAATATTGTGGACCCAAAATCACAATATATCGAATTGCAAGTCTCTTTGCTTAAATTAAGAGTTATGGTGCAGCAATAGCTAAAAAAAAGACAGGGAACTACATAAATCATGATCCTTTGCTTCATTTCAGTGAAGACTACAAGAAGAAATAACAGTTCTAAGCACTTTTAAGTCTTAGTTCTTTGGATTAAGTC